AATTTTTGGTGATTGGAGTAAATGTCACGTGGTTATAATGCCACGCCCCTTTGAGGTCTGAGTCGAAAATCTGCTGTTGCTGGCATTTTTTCGTGAAAATCTCTCGGCTACACATAGTGCGCATTAGTGCCTTGCGCTTTCACCAAAATCGCAAAGACCCAATTCGAGAAATTCAGCGGTTTCCAAATTTAGGTCATAATTTATGCGAAAATGATAAGCAAACTTTACACGATTACATCTAATAAGCTATGAGATTCATCCCTTTATTTTGGGCATCGTTATAAGAGGTGGGTCCTTGCAAGTCAGCAAAATGCTTTAGGGCCTTGTAAATGCGCGCGATTTCGAGCAAAGCAAACATATAGAAATTATAGTTTTCGCTATTTGTTGACGTTTGTCAGCGTTTAAGAGTCCTTCTCATGAAAAAAGCATTTTCTTAAAAATTCCTAGTTTTTTTTCTTTCAAATTTTTTCAGGGCCACAATTGATTAACTAACTACCCAGACTCTGAATTTCATGGTCATTGAAAAACTGTGACATTATCTTCTATAAGCCCAAACTTGAGTAAACATTGAAGATTTTTAGCATTTTGGCTGAGTTTGTGCTTTGGGAGTTGTCTATTGTTTCTAGTCTGTCATTATACAGCATTCTTGTTCAGCATGCATGCGATGACCAGGCTTGGGTGACTTCCGAATGCTCACTGCCAAACCTTGAATATAGAACTGTTTGACTTTAAGCCCATTAAATTTGTAGTCAAGATTACACTCCAGTTGTTTTCTACTGTAGGTTGCTGGCATTGTGTTGGACAATTTTGAACGTGGACGATCCAGACATATATGGTTTAGTATTTCAGCTGACCTACGATTAGATGCCCAAAGGTGTGTTCAGATTATTTTTTAGCCAAAGTCTGATTATGTATTCAATGGAATTTTGACCTTTTAAGTCAATGATTTTAACCCATTCACTCCTGGGAATTTTTCCAAAAAATACCTTTTAAAAAAGTCTGCTCTCTATGACTTATTGGCAAGGTAGGTTTTATTACAGATGAGAAGTCATAAACGGGATTTTCTTTTTCAAAATCATCTTCTGGTCCCTCAGTCGATCCTACAGGATGCAGGCAGTAAATTATTTTGCACCTTTGTAGATCTGATGCATCAGGGGCACAGGATGCACAGGCAGGGGTAACAAAATCACTGCAGCATTAAGTTCATAATTCCACATTTTTTTGGCACTTTTACATGTAACCCATTCACCCACTAGAACAAAATGGTCCAGGGGTAATATTGGAAGGAATATTCAGAAGCATTTCCACACCAATGATCCAATAAAATCGATAAAATCGGCTTTGGGTTTGGATTCACTGATTCTGGACTGTGACAGAGTTTTCATGATATGAATCCCTATAGCAGTTTGTTACAAAATCAGGGATGCTGGTAATTGCTCTCTCTCTCTGTATAGCTGTAAAATACTATAACCCAAGAAACTGACAAATTTCTGATTGTTTTTCATTTGTCAGAGATTTACATGACATTGGTTGTTTTGTCAAAGTGATAGATGGTTGTCAGCAGCTGGATAAAGAAACCAGGTACATGAACTCAAATACCACGGGTATTATTTAGAGTGGGGCAAGAGGGCCATGCCTTCCCCTGCCTTTTTGTCTAAAATCTTGTTAAATTTCAGAAAAAATTCTCTCAACATCTGTCTTCCAGAATCTCAATTTTTGGACAAAAATAATGCTATCAGAGTTCTCTCTGTTTTGGAATTTTTTAAATCTTTCTCTGAATACTACGAGTTATCTACACTAGCTGATGTTTGTTGTTATCATTATGTAACACAACATATTCTTGGACAAGGTACATAAATTCCTTTTCTTAGTAATTATTTTCTAAGATTTCTTTTTCAAACCAATCTGTGCATGCAAGTTTCATTAATTTTCATTTTCCTTCAATTCAGGTGTATTTTTCCCCAAGTGATAATCTGATCCAAAATGTTTCCAAGCCAACTATTGCTTCCTACAGTGTAAAAGAAAGGAGAAGTCACACTGCCATGGTAGCAAAATTTCTGGGTCTCAACAAACTGTGGTCCTGCCAATATGGTGGGGAAAAAAAACAACAAAAATTTTTTTTCTGTGCATTATTGCTTTTAAGAATGAAAGGGTCGCTGGTATTTTCCTTCCATCATTGGACAATACAAATGGCCATCCGTCTCTGTCAAGGAAGATTATTGATCCAGAAATCTTGCTTCCACGGTAACATGACATCACACATCTCTCTATAGAAGCAATATTCTGTGATTTATTTGACAGTAATAATAGATCAGTAGGAATTTTAAAACAAATCCAATAACATTGACATTATTTTGTTTTACAGAGTATTTGGCTTACCTGCTGATTTTAAAGAGGGTGTTGTCTTCAGTACATACGCAACACTGGTGTCGTCTGTTCAAAAAGGTGAGCGTGCAGTGTGAATGTCATCTATCGCTGACAATAGACAAGGTTCCTGTTTTTGTTGATCTGATTTGTTTTTTTTGACAGGTGCCAATCGTCAAAGCAGATTGCAACAGCTCATAGACTGGTGTGGTGGTGAGCAGTTTAATGGATGCCTCATATTTGATGAGTGTCATAAAGCAAAGCATTTTGTACCTGTAAGTGATTTACAATAGTTTAGCCCTTATTCTTCACACTCATAACTGCAGCAAATACATGTAAATACATATTTAAGGCAAAAAGCATGGATTATTAGACCAAAACTCATTATTCATCTTAAGTTTATTAGAAACTGCTACTGATCATCATTGTGTTCAACTTGTGTTTTGAATGAAATGGATGAGAGGACAAGAGTTTGTATTCCCTTTACATTACATACAGTTCACGTAAAGCATGACTGCGCAGTGGGTTTCTTGAGAATGCAATTGGTCTTGTTACACTTTGAATGCACAACCATTACACTTTCCACACATGCAAATTGACACCAATGATGCATATTGACAGCAGAGACAGATGTTACAAGTCATGGATTCAATTAAGTACTCTGCTCACTGTAGCTTATTTCATTTTAGGGAAAAGAAGAATCCAGCACAAAAGTTGCTCTTGCTGTCACAAAAATACAAAGGTATGATAAAGTTATTCTACTTCATTTTTGAATCTCAATTGTTAGCATGTAATTAACACTCTTATGTAATAATTAAAGTACTAATAATTTTACAATTTGAAAGAAGCAGGGAGCAGGGATGGAGCAATTGTGATTGAGCACTTGTCTCCCACCAATGCGGCTTGAGTTCAGTTTCCAGAGTTGATGCCATGAGCAGGCCCTTTGGGAGGGTGGGTGCGACATGTGAGCTTGCACCCCCCCCCCCAACAGATCCAGAGGTCTACTTTTTAAAATACATAAATAAAGTAGTCTCTGCCAAAAGTATATGTATCAAGTTTGAAATTCAAAAATTTTGCGAAATATCCAAGAATTGAGTCCGACATGTCTAATTTGGGTCGACCCATGAATTAAGTTCGAGTGGCCCACATGGGAATTTTTACTGTGGAGCAAACATCAAATTTTCCTTGTACTGAACCTAGTGTATAAATTACAGTAATCTATTTTCACTGTTAAGTATTAATTTCAGACCATTAAACATCGTGGCAATGAATTGAGTCCGGCTTCTTAAGTTTGATGTCTGAATGAACCAACAAACTTATATCATTTGGGTCAACCTAAATAGGTGTCAAGTTTGGTAGATGAAAAGTTTTACGTTTGAACTGAGCCTAAGAATGCCACAGGTTTTCAGTTCTTGGAACTGACAAGTTTCACTCTCTCTAAATAACGTAAGATTGGTTTGGCTTTTTTGCCTGGCTTCTTCCCTATCAGACATACAGTGTTCTCCCTGAATTTTAGCTCAGCCGGTAAGGGACCATTCTTGGCCAGTAAGGTAAAAAAATGTGTGCTAGAGGGGCATTTTCCTTGCAGGGAGGGGGGTAGTAGAATGAGGGACATGCCTTCTACCTCGCTGTGAAATTTGGCAGCTAAGTTCTCTGAAAAGTCATTCCCTCATTTTTAAGACCTATTTTACACAAGTTAGCCATTGTTATCTGTAGACAACAATTTAAAACATTTGATTGCAATAATTTTACTCTGTCTTCAATGCCCTCTGGCCCATAAAAAAGAAAAGTTGTGTATACTTTAGTACACTTCCAAATATTCATTCATTACCTTGATCTGATCGGAACACAACTTGCGTATTGTGTTTAAAAATAACTTATTTAACTTTAGTAAACCTTGAAACAGTTGCAGTGAGTCGGTAAGAAGTGTTGCTTCAGATTGTAAATTTTACCGGTTACCGCGTGATAAGGAGCACACCTGACATAAGAATTCATCTTTAGGCCATAAAATTGAATTACCTTAAACATCTGTATGATATAGAAAAGAGCCCAATTTTAAACAAAATCCAAAAAGAAAACTTCAATTTGTTAACCTATAACTTATTATGTCCTATTATGTATGAGCAGGGCAGTAATTAAGAACTGGGGGCCAGGGATTTCCCCCGGCTACCGTGATTGTGGTCCCCAGCTACTTTCATTGGAAAATAGAAGAAACAGAACCAAAAGAATTCCATAGCTGTTTGATTCCCTGCCTACTTGTTGTATTTACCCAACAACTTGAAATCTCAGTGACAACCCTGTATCAGTAAATAGATTTTTTTCAAGAAAATAATCAGTGGCTGTATGGAATAAAACCCTAAGTGACATTTTTGAAAAACTACAAGATCCTTTGTCCAAATCGCCTCATATTTGCCCATGTATGTGAAAGGAGGATTTGATATCATGTCAAGTGTCACTAGGGGCATTGTTCCGTGCACCCTTCAATACAAATATTAGAATAATTATGTAATAGTTATTATTAAAAACTGAATCATTGGATAATACTAAGGTTTACAATATTTCGAGTTCATCTTCATCGTTGTCGCTGTCAGAAGTGATGTCAATATCTTCTCCTCTGTTTCAATCGCGTTAATTTCCTTTATTATGAAATTCTACTTCCTCTTTCGCGTTAATTTTCTTTATTCGAAAGTCGTTTTCCATTAAATTCGCGTTAATTTAAGTCGCGTTAATTTCCAATACCTTAATTTCATGGAGCGTTAATTTCCTATAATAAGGTATGTGAAAGGAGGATTTGATATCATGTCAAGTGTCACTAGGGGCATTGTTCCGTGCACCCTTCAAATTACAAAGATTAGAATATGTAAATTTAGTTATTATTAAAAACTGAATCATTGGATAATACTATTCTAGAGCTCTGATTGGCTTAGCCATCACGGTATATGAGCCTTTATACGATGCTCCCCAAATATGGTAACTGTACGCATCTGCTCAAAATAAGAAACAAGCTGAAATCGGTTGTTTTTACAAATAAAGTCAGGACGAATTCTCGATATTTTGCGGGCGTTTTTAATAAAACAATATTCCACTCGTGCTTGTTGTATATGACATGATTATAGTCAACTCATCCAACACGCACGAGTGGAATAATTGTTAAATATACCTGACCTCCTTACTGTCTCTACAGAGTCCCCCCCCCCGCTTCCCCTACAGTGACTGTTGTACCCAAGTTCTCTCTTTTTTAAAGGTTTATTCTTTTCTCATTTTACAGAATGCTACCCAAAGCTCGTGTTGTGTACTGTAGTGCAACTGGTATGACAGATGTAAAAAATATGGTGGGTGTAGAGTGATGTGTTATTTTATATAATTGACAATAACGTGATTTTGACTGAGTGTCAGGAAACAGCTTGTTACTATTAAAAGGTATCCAACTTTGCTTTGCTAGTTTTTCGCAAACAATGCACTAAGTAAAGGTTGGCAAGTACCTTTAAAAAGTATGCTGTACGTAGTCAGCATCTTATAAGATACCACTGTACAAAGTTAAAACTTTAAAGTGAAACTTGATCTTGTGACTTGATTTTGTACCTGGGAACAAAGATTTTTTAAGGCGAAATACCGTCGGTTGTATCTAAGCGTTGACACGAGACAAAAAAAAAACATGTTCTAATAGAGTGCCAGACATGACGTGTTTTGCCGCCAAACATTTGCCAAAGCCTTTAAGCCAAAGGTAAGTTTGTAGCCAACCGGAACATGTTTTTTCCTCAGGTGTACACGCTTAGATGCAGCCGACGTTAATTATGATCGCCGGGATGAGTGTACTTAACAGGACTGTTGTTGACAGTGATTGACGTTTTGACAGGTCTTCAGGTCCTATCCACATGTATCCGGATAGTTTTGAAAACGGAGACTTTTTTCTCCATTCTTGCCTCCATCCACACATAAACGGCCTTTTCAAAAACAGACCCAGAGTGGAGATTTTTTAAAACGCCGGCTTCTCGTTTAAAGTGGGCTGTCGAAAACGGAGATTTGTGAACACGATTGTCATGCACCATATACTACTAGAGTTACACATGCTCTGTAAGAGCTGCTATCGTCTTTCCATCGTTTTAGGGTTTTCATGTGGACAGGCAAAAACGATTCAAACACGATTCATGTAGACGCCTATTTTTTTTTTCAAAATCGAGAAAAAAATTCCCATTTTCGAAAATATCCGGATAGGTGTGGACAGGGTGTCAGGGTCAAAGTCAGTTGTATCACGTCAGTTGATGGTATTAAACTCTGGTTCAAGGTACATGATTTCTAGGTACTCAGTAGAAGAGCACAAAGACTCTTGTTGCGTGAAGTTTTTAAACCCTACAATAATTGCTGAGAGATTATTACAGCAACCATGTGTAGAAGCCTTAGGTTTCTGACAATGGTCCCCTTCAGTCCAACGGTCAATCAATACAGTACACTGATACAGTGATTTGATTATTTTCAGGCATTTATGGAGAGACTTGGTTTATAGGGAGATGGAACAGCATTTAAATCGTTTGATTCTTTTCTAGCCAGCATAACTAAGAGAGGTCTTGGTAAGTGGCATAGTTTTCAGCCTAGACTACGAGCATTCTCTCTTTTTTCCAAGTCCGTCGAGCAAAACGCGCGAGACACGCAAATGACCACGCGCAACGCTCTCTCGCGCGTACACTCCCCTCACTAAATCTGAAGGAAAAGAGAGACTGCTTGCAGTCTATTTTCAGCCCCAATGATCCACATACAAATTCTCTCCACTGATCCCCCTACCTTTCCTTAAAGAATTAGTTGAGAGATTTAAAGGATTATTTTATGAATTCTCTAAACTTTTTCCTGTAATGATGTATGGATATTTTTAGGAGAAAATTGATGTTAATCACGTTTGGTACTCAGTGGGATAAAGGGGTTATATCAATATGACTTCCATATTCTTGTCAAAGTTGTGCTGAAATTGTAACTAAGTATTCTCAGTCACCTTTTTCCATACTTGGAACTCTAAAAAGAAAGCTATCAAATGATTCGATCTAAGCCAAGAGGAAGTAATGCATGTTCGTTTCTGGTCATTTTTCGAAGAACTCCTGCCTGCCGTACAATGCTTAGCTGTGATAAGAGTGTTAAAGATCTTAAGGTGCAGCGCGTTCTTGTACCGGCTCTGGCAAATTACTCGAAACCTTAGCCTAATTTATGGGTAGACCACCTGTACTATAACCGTGGAGAGACGGCTAGCTAGGCTAGTGGCTAGAACGGTGATGCGCCATGGTGATGCTATTACCACGTCTCGGAAATCATGGTCGCCTTTTATATAGCCTGTCTCAGGCTTTGAAATAGTGGAGTGTGGTGCGAAGTTAGAGAATGGGAAAAAAATAAGGACAAAGAGGGAGAGAGAGTCTCTCCTGAGAGGAAGGAATTTCGCCCTCACTCCCTACCCCACTCCTCGCTGTTTTTTCTGCACATATCTCCTTGCGTCGTCCTCACAATCTGAACTCCTGGAACAGGAGCTTACACTTCTTCATCGGCCGAAACGATGTATCTCAAGGTCATTTAAAATCTTTCCTAGGTGCTTCTGAAATGTTAGCTATGGAAATGAAGGCATCAGCGATGTACGTTTCTAGAGGTCTTGGTTTCAGACAGGCTGAGGTAATGCATAATTTTAGAAATGGCATCCTAATTTTCTGTTGTAACCAGAAGTTTTTCTAACATACTGAAATATAAGGCTTTTTTTTGCAATGCTTATTTCTTCACTTCTGTTCCTTTTTTGTTAACAAACTTTGATAATGCTTTTTTGTCGCATTTCTGCAGTTTGTTAATGTTGAGGCGACACTGACTGCGGAACAGAGAAAGGTTTACGACACTGCAGTTCACGTTTGGTACGTATGGCAATGTAAAAAGGTTAAATCTTCGTATTAACTGCTTTAAGTAGACCACAACTTAAGGTGGAATCATTCAGTGGTTTGTTGTACCAGGGCTCCGGGATTAACTTATGTGATTTCGTAGAAATTGCACTCAAAACTTGTGCGTTTGTTTGAGTCAAAGCAAAAGCAAAACAACAATCACAGTCGGTATTCTGAGAAGTAACGGTTGTGTGTATGTTTCACAATCATAGGGTGAATATGTTTCACCTTTTTTTCCTTTTCTCTTTAAAGGAGCGAGTTAAAGAAGTCATTAGAATTTGCCATTGGTCGCACCACCTCTTCTACACCAAGGGTGTGATCAGTCTTTTGGTCCTGTCATCAGCGGTTCTTTAAACAGCTCTGGTGAGTATTTAATCCCGTCTCTGGTCTTTTAGGGGCAGATATTACAACAGAGTTTAGGCGTTATTTAACAAAACACCTTTCTAACGCCCATGCCTTAGCATCGTTTGCTGTTCATATCTACAAGAAGGCGACAGCCCGAATTAGAATACCATTTATCTACTTAAAATAAATACCCTACAAACGAATAAGGAGGCGCTCTGATTGTTAGACCTCGTTTAAATAGTCGACCTTCAGTTTCTCCTTAACATTATTGCCCTCTTATTTCCAGTAATGTTGTCCTCGATGCTAGTTCATCGGCCTATTAAAGTTGTTCGTAAGACTGAGTCGGTATCGTCTCCAATTACACTGTGGTACTGTTTGCAGACGCTATCGCCTATTTATTGGATATTACGAGGTTGCGAGGGAAACTGGGTCAAACTGCGTCCCCAAAACAGTCCCATAGTGCAGTTCGACACAACACCGACCCAGACTCCTGCCCAACCTCAAAACTCTGTGTCCGAGCGAGGTTAAGAAACCTAACAAAAAGAAAACGAATTTCATTTGTATGAGAATAAAAAAAATCATTTTCATATCAATGGCTTCGCACTTAGCCTCGCTTTAAAACAGAGGCTTAGCAACTCGGTAATGGCTACATTCGTGGGCCGCTTGGGAGCTCTTGGAATAGCTTACAGGATTGAGTGAGAAATTAATGAAGAAGCGACGGAAACAAACCCTAACCCTGAAATAATAGAGCTACGTACCTGTTAGAGCGAATGAAATTATATTTTTGAAGGGCTTCGTGACAGTGGCAATGTAAGGTAATCCAAGACAGTCTTTGATTCTGGATTGCACGCTGTGGGTTCCGGAATCGTTATCATTGGAACTTGGATTTGGGATTTCCAATCGTTGGTGGGATTACGGATTCCAAAGTCCAGGATTCCGGTTATCACACGAAAATATTTCCTGGATTTCGGAACTGAATTACCTGATCTTGGGCGGATCATTATACATTTCTGGGAAAGTGCCCACCTACCCTCCCTAAGCCAACATTTTGCCTTAAGTGAAAAGCAAGTGTTGATGTTGGCTCAGGGGAGGGGTAGGTAGGCAGTTTCCTAGAAACGTATAATAATCACATGGGGCAATTTTGCCAGTATCATGTTCCACTTTCAGCGCCAGCAGGCATTTTTACTTTGTAACCTTGCTTATATTGGGTCTGATAATAGATATGATGTATATGAATATTTTTACAGCATGAGTATGAAAGTTCCTACCATAGTGGAAGAAGCCCAGCAAGCATTGCAGGCAGGATATTGTGTGGTCATTGGTCTCCAGTCCACTGGAGAGGTTTGTTTTCTCTTTCTCTCCAATTTTTTTTCGTATCCACTCCAAACGGGTACAGTTTTTGATAACATAAAAATTTCTTTATTTCAAGGTCAGCCATTGTTTAAAAAGTAATGTTTGAGACACTGAGAACTTCTTGCAAAGTTAGTAGAAAGTACGTACCAAATAATTGTTCGCCCCTCACATTGTATAGAGAGTTTCACATAGGTTCTATTAGTGGATGCACTTGATGCAAAGCTATCGCTGCAAGTATTTTAAGATCCTTAAGGATGTATGTACGGTCAACTCAGTATTTAAGTCTGACAAAGCAAAAAAAATGGTTGGATTCTTTCGAGAACGCACAATTCGTTTATAAAGAATTCCTGCAAATTGCTGGATTTGGCTGCTGGATGTATAATGGCCATCGTATTTTCCCTGCAATAATGTTATTTCGTTGGTCCAGCAATTCACCTGTCAAGGCGGATTTTGTTCATCTGGAAAGTGATAGGCTACAGCAAGACTATCAATTTTGTCCAGAAGGCATGATCGACCACAGGTCACTAGATTTCGTAGGTCATGGGCCATTTTTGATAATTTTACTCAGGTATTGTTCAATGACCGACGGTTATTTACTTACTACTTATAAACCGAGAGTGAGGTCGTTACAGCGAAGTCCCAGACCAAGGCCTTGATTTATTGACCGGGCGATAGCACAACAGAACCATTTTTAAAATACTTTTTTAACTTTGATATATGACCCTTCGAATTGAACTCCAGAAAAATTCACCAACATTTGACAAATTCAACGACATGGAATAACAGCGAGGAATTTTGAAACAGCATGAATTCCCTTTTTAGGAGACGTTTTTGTTACTGTTGTTGTCGTCGTTGCTTAAACTCCCCAATGATCATGAGAAAGTAGTTGCTTGAATAGAGTTTGGCTTAAGTCATTGTTTTATTTGTCAGGCAAGTTTGGAAAGTGAAATATCACGTTGTGGTGGAGTACTGAATGGCTTTGTCTCAAGTACAGAAGAAATCATTAGCAGGTTTATCACGCAGTATTTTCCAAGTTTCGACGGAAAGTTTTACAGCTGGGAAGTTCTTTATGTTCATTTTTCCTTCTATTTCCTATGTAAGTAGCCGGGGGCCCTACTCAAAGTTTCCAGGGGAAATTCCCTGTCCCGGACCCCTTAATTACATCCCTGCTCTTTCCCCTTGCGACTTCGGCGCCGCTGAAAAGCACTCCTGCGCTCTCATTCCACCAGCTTTGCTGGTCAATCTCAAGGATGGTACATCACACAACGAATGGATAATTTTGAAAATCCACTCTATACTCAACATCACTTAAATGTAGTACACTTTCTGTAACCTTCAAAGCAGGCGTATTTTGCAGGGTGACTGTTCTCCCGCCATCTGGGATATTGAAACTGACAGAGAGTTCAGTCACCTATTCAGTTGGCGTCAGTGAAAAAATGATTCAAGATGGCGGACGCGATCAGTATACATTTGTACCTCAAGGCTTTAGTTAAAAAATTGTTTGCTCTACAGGCCACACTTTCTGCCTTCCACATTTCAAAGATTTGATGGTACTTCTCCTGTTATGGTTCATAAGCCACAGAAGTCCAGTCCAACAGTCTTGTTTACTCACTTTTTTATTTTTGTTTCGGATAATGTGAAGTTAAGTAAATTTTTTTAAAAAAAGAGAGAAATCAAGGCTATTATGTTCTTTGTGTAGAATGGCGATGTTGTTGAAGATCAGTGGAGTGTTCAGGCTAAAAATCTTCTACAAGGTTTTGTCAAGAAAATTAATCTCCCAATCAGGTTTGTATCAATGTTCTATTCTTTAAAACCCTTTTAAAGAGCCTGTCTCACTATGATGAGCTATTGCTGTTTTAGGTCAATGCTGTGAAAAAGTCCCTACTTAGTACCTAAACCTAAATACAAAATGCTCCTGAGGAATTATACAGAAAATAGCAAACAAATTTTTAATCATGGAGCACTAACCACTATTTTTTTTTGGTGATTGTTACAGGCATAGCATTAAAACTTGAACAATTTGGTAGAACGTTTTCAAGTTTAAATCCATGTCCATTCTTGCCATCCGTTGCAACAGACGACAGAAACCAGTTTCAGTACTTAAAAATATTCTTAAATAACAAATTTGCCGTATTATTTTTGGGATTAATCCTGGGTGGGGATGGAAAGGATCCTGTTATTGACTACCATACACTGTCTCACTCCACCCAGGTGTATAAATTTGGGTACCAAAAGATTTAATCCTGGGTGGAGGTGGGAGGGATCCTGTTATGGACTACAATATACTGTCTCACTCCACCCAGGTGTATAAATTTGGGTACCAAAAGATTTAATCCTGGGTGGAGGTGGGAGGGATCCTGTTATTGACTACTATCCCGTCCAAGGAAGAGCAAAAATATTCCTAGTCGCTTCATGCTATGGAGATCGGAATGTGCTACGGCCAAATGGGCTACCTGGCTCGAACGCAGACTTTACCTTCGTACCTTTTTGACTTATTTTTGTCTCTAGTCCTCTTGATGACCTTATAAACCAGCTCGGAGGACCAGGAAAAGTAGCAGAAATGACAGGCAGGCGTGGTCGCGTGGTAAAAACTGACAAGCAGCCTCAACCTCATTACGAGGCTGGAGAATCAGACAGCAGCAATGTGGATAGTTTGAATATTCAAGAGGTGAGCAAAGTAATCAAAACTAAATCTTGCGCCGTGTTCTGAATAAAATGGTAGAAAATGCGATTTACAGTCGGTAATTACAGTCATCAGCACAGACGTCATCCTCGGCCAAGACCCTGGAGCAGGCAGCCAGGTCGAAAACTTTCGTCGCACGACTCGTCGCACCGTTTCTGCCGACCTGACTGACTGCCCCTGGGTCTCCGAGGATGAACTCTGCCTTTGTCCCTTACATTTAAAAACAGGACCGTCGTTTCAGCGCGAGAAAGACAGCCTAGTGCTTGTGTTTGTTAGTTGTTCCTGGGATTACAAGTTTTCAAGTGTAGTCCAACCTTAAAGTCTTACTCTAAATCTGAACTCTTATGCCTTAAATTCAGGTAGCAATCCGGTTTCGGATCTTCGTTTCATTCCCCAGTATTTTTCGCTTTCGCTATGACAACTAAGTCGGCATAAAGCAATTGCTTGAAGCTCAAGAACTGCCTCTTTAAATACCACGGTTTTTAGAGAGTTGTTTGAGTATATCTGAACATTCAACGTTTTTTTTTCGATTGCATTGTATCGCAGAGGAACAGTTTTATGAATGGAACAAAACTTGTTGCCATCATATCTGATGCCGCCAGCACTGGTAGGTTCCCTTTGCATCTTGATTCGTTTGAAGTTACCTGGATTAAACCTTGCACTTTTTAAATTCTTTTAATACTTGAAATTTGAGGGCAACCTTGAAGTTATTTTCACACAAAGAATCGCTGGCTCAGTGTCTGTTAGCGTTCAATTGAGTTGCCATTACTTGGAATTTCGTGTAGAGACTCGAAATTTAGAGTGATGTTTCTTGACTTAAAGTTCTACTCAAGCAGGAATAAAAGGTTTTTCTCGGGTAAAAGGAACCGCAATAAATAACGTGTATAAGTGACAAGACAAGACGATAATTTACTTGAGGTCGTATACCACCTGGTACATCGACTGTTTTCCAAATGATTTAATATTACAATATTCTGTGTGATATCATTTGTAAGACTCATTGAATTACACAGGTATCTCGTTACACGCGGATCTCCGAGCAGCCAATCAGTGCCGCCGTGTTCATGTGACCATTGAGCTGCCTTGGAGTGCTGACAAAGCTGTTCAACAACTGGGAAGATCACACCGGTCAAACCAGACAAGGTACATGCACTGCCCAAACACAAACGTTCCTATCCCTTGATATAAGCTATTTCCTAAAGAAGAAGGAAATGGTTGCGCGCTGCACGTTTACCATTTTTTAATTGTACTTCCGCTTGATTAGCCTTGTTGGAAGGGTAGCGTTCTGCCAAGCAGGTTTAAACCCGCCGTTTAAACCCAACACCAACCAGGGTCTTCAAAAAACTGATCATATCATGCTGCCTGTTATCTAAGATCTTGTCTCAGTCCAGATGATCTGATAGTCACGTCAGTGGGCGGTGATGTTAATCCATTGGCCTTGTCTTATTCATCCTTTCTTAACAATTCGAAGGGGACGTAAAAAGAACCCACACTGCTGTTGGAGAAGAGAGTGAGAGGTAGACCTCTGTGGTGTGGTTTATCTCTCACGTGGAAGGGAACTGTCACGGGGCACAATACTTGGCTTCAAGCTTTTGCGGTTACCCTGCCAAGAATTGGACAGTCTAGTAAAACAAAAAATCAAATTCCTTGTGATTAAAAATCTGAAGGCTTTCCTGGAATATCACTACTTCCATAATATCCTGTGTACGGCCGCCTTCTCCCCTTGGGAAAAATCGGGAAAAGGGAGGGGGCGGCTTTACACAGGCTACTCCCATGATCACTTTTCTTTCGCCAAAATCCCCTTTGTACCATGGGAGTCAGAGGAGGGAGATATCACGTGATAATGTTCACCGTCTAATTGGCGCGCTCGGGGGCTCCGCTTTTCTCCAGAGCTTTACTGGCTCTGATGTTTTCTTTGTTTCGTTTTGTTTTTTTTAGCGGACCTATCTATAAACTTGTAACAACAAACTTGGGCGGTGAAAGAAGATTTGCTGCGGCTGTGGCTCGACGGCTTCAGTCGTTAGGTAATGTTTAAATGTTTGTCAAACTCGGAAAATCGTGAACATCTGACGTATTTGTGAATTATTCTCACTCAGTTGCAAGGAAAAAGCTAATCAGACATAAAAACAAAGAAGCTGCAAGTATCAGCGGTAATTAGTTTGAGAAAGATGATTTTTAAGTCAGACACAGGCGGCTCGAAATGAAAAAATCCGTGTACACCCATCCAACAGGAGTTAAAACTTTGATCATCGGTTTACTAGCCCGGCCAGATGCTCTACCACTAAGCTACAGGGGTCACGTGGGAGCTAAGGTCACTAAACTAGGTCCATGTGGCAAACATCCTGCATACTTCTAGGACTAAAATGTCGATATGTACTGATGCAATATGATAAGAGATGTGATGGCAGGGTGCAAAGAAAATCATTTTTATAGTTTGCCATTCGGGCAAGCTGAAGCTAGCATTTACTAGCCCAGACATCATTTTAACTAGCCCTAAAAGCTTTTTGACGAGCAGAATTGATTTCACAGTTCTTCCTTTATCCGAATTGCTCAAAAAACATCACTTGCTTATCGGGCAAGTTAAAAAGAGAATTCACCAGCCTGATAACAAAATCCACTTGCCCCGAGCTATCGGACACTACTTTCTTTGCACTCTGGATGGTGAATTTTGAGCCTGGTGAATACATGAGAAATATGATTTTTCAGTCAGTGACACAGGCGGCTTGGAAGAAAAACATCCGATTACTCCCAGTAGGCGGTCAAACTTATAACATTCTGGTTACTAGTCCAGATGCTCTACCACTGAGCCACAGGAGAAGTTTTGGAGCTAAGTTCATGTGCAAAAATCCTGCATGTAATACTGTTAGATTGTCTAGAACTATTCCTAGCAGAATACAGTCGAAGCTCTCCATGCGACCACTCTCGTGGTCTAGTTACGACCACCTTTGTGAAACCCCGTTTGGACAGTGACTTAAACAATTTAGTGAAAAAGCTCTTGTAAGCGACCACTCCAGTAAGCGGCCGTGAACGCTTTTGGGATTACCCAAATAAACGGGGTGGTCGCTTACGAGAGCTTCGACTGTATCTAGAACGTTCTTATCCTAGCAGTATGCTGGATGTTTGTCACGTGAACCTAGTTTAGTGGCCTTAATCATTTGTAGCTCAGTGGTAGAGCATCTGGACTGGTAGCCAGAAAGTCATAGGTTTTCTTTTGTTTTCCCAGCCAAAAGCATCAATCCATTCAACTAAACAGCCATGACCGAGCCCCTTTAAGTTTTTGTTTTGTTTGCCTGCAGGTGCACTTACCAAAGGTGACAGACGAGCAGCGACTGGGGCCGACTTAACACAGTTTAATTTTGACACGCCTTACGGCCGATCTGCGCTCAGGAACATGTACCAAGCCATTACTTTGGTATGTCAGATAGCCTGTTTCGGGATAAAAGATAATAGCGTAGTAACTAGCTAAATTGTTTTTTATTCTCGATATTTTTTACCAGCTAGTTGGATTTTACTAAAACAATTATTCCTCTCGCCCTCATGGCCTCTTAGTCAATAGCCCATTCGGCCTTCGGCCTCATGGGCTATTGACTCAGAGCCCATTCGGGCTCGAGGAATAATTGCTAAAAATCCCACGTTAAAGCACCCCCCGGTTTTAAACCCTCTCCCGGATCTAAGTCCATCTCTTTGCTAACGAAGATATTATATATTCCGGATACAAGTCCCCCGGGTATAATCCCCCCCGCCCCTATTTATAAGCCTACCCAAAACCCCTCAAGACGTTATATAAGCCCAGGGTTTTAACGTGAGATTTTACGGTACCGGTATGTCAGAAGTGGTCACGAATTAGAACCATGCGTGCTTGTTGCTTGTGTCATCTACGACCGAGCGTTTTTTATTTGGACTTGGGACTTATTTTGCCTTTTTTTTCAGCAATACATTTGTCCCGGAGTTGCTTTGTCTAAGGTTCTGTTAGCAGCACAAATTCCCGACAAGCATGAATTCACAGAGTTTAACTCCATCGCAAGGGTGAGTTTTACTTCGTTGGTCGCGAACGTGGTTAAAATTCTTGTTTAATTTCTCTCCTTAAAAGTGGATTTGGAAACAAAATTTATGATGTCAGAGACAATTTTATATGGCAGTTAGGCAGCGATATTGCTTCATAAAAATTTTGGGCAACACGTGGGAATGGATAAAGGAAAAACGTCATTTTGTAATAACATATAATGCGATCAGTATAAAATGACTTGATAGGAAAAATTAGAGAGACCTTGAATAATGGCAACTCAATACCCCAACAGCTATTTTGTAACCACCAACAATTTCTGCAGCTTTAGGAAACCTTTGTGGAAACAGGAGATACATTAGTAGCCTTTTATAATAATAATAAGCATTTGGAAAAATGTAAGCTCCTTGTTTGTCTTTTCCCATCGCGTTTCTTGCTCCTCAGCATGGCGTATTTGTACCACGTGACTAAAGCACTACAAAGCGCCCATTTCGTTCGGTAGTCTAGCCCGCGCCATAGACGAAACTAAACTCTGGTTAAGTCTGTCTACGAAAAAGCGCCGAAATCCTTGTTCTGGGCCCCACTTGTGTACCAGGATTTGAGTATTCGCCATGATTGGCCTTTTAAAAATGCCATTGTCCATTTGCCAATCAGGTTGAAAAGAAACTGGAAACGCACTTCTGGCAAAACGCTTATTCCGTTGTGGGCCCAGAACAAGGATCTCGGCGCTGTTTCGCAGACATTACCTGGAATTGCCTCTCAAAAATATGAAAAATTCAAATCGGCAAGTTTAAATTTACGCAACTCAGCATAAAAGCGACTCTAGCATAGGAGGATTTGAAGAGTTTAGTCCAGCATAGGGTAGAAAACTTCAGCTGCACTAGCTTTAGTATAGGCTAAGGGTTACAGGGTCCCGGCGGCACATCCCCGCCCAAAAAATCCTGAAAAAGTACCCCCCCCCCCCCCGGGGGGGGTTAGATTACATATGCGACGTAGGGTATTGGTAGTCCAGTTTCACATTAGTGGTGACTTATGAAGAAAGTCTTTCTCAAAGGTGGTCCATTCCATTTACCAAGGTGTCCAAATGACTGAATTACTCTGAAGTTTAACAAAGCCCTGTTTTCTTTGGTTTCACAGCAATGTCTTCTGTCCATGGGAGTAACAGACGCCAGTTTCGTGGTGAAAGACAAAGACGCCAGCGATGTGGGAAAATTTCTCAACCGTATTTTGGGTCTTAGTGTGGAAAGACAAAATTTGGTAAGTACAAAGATCCTTCCTGTTTGGTGGCAATGAAACGTACGTTTGAGGGGAAGTTCTGGGACTAACCTTGTTTCCTAACTTTTTCTGCTATTTGAACCGCTGTCGTGAATTTTATCTGTCGATTTCTCAGTCTTCTTTTATCAGTCAATTTCCCACTCTTCTTTTCTCGATCGATTTCTATATCAGTCTTCTTTTATCGTTCGATTTCCCACTCTTCTTTTATTGATCGATTTCTCAGTCTTCTTTTATCGTTCGATTTCCCACTCTTCTTTTATCGATCGATTTCTCAGTCTTCTTTTATCGATCGATTTCTCAGTCTTCTTTTATCGATCGATTTCTCAGTCTTCTTTTATCGTTCGATTTCCCACTCTTCTTTTATTGATCGATTTCTCAGTCTTCTTTTATCGATCGATTTCTCAGTCTTCTTGTATCGATCGATTTCTCAGTCTTCTTGTATCGATCGATTTCTCAGTCTTCTTGTATCCATCGATTTCTCAGTCTTCTTGTATCGATCGATATCTCAGTCTTCTTGTATCGATCGATTTCTCAGTCTTCTTTTATCGATCGATTTCTCAGTCTTCTTTTATCGATCGATTTCTCAGTCTTCTTTTATTGATCGATTTCTCAGTCTTCTTTTATCGGTCGATTTCCCACTCTTCTTTTATCGATCGATTTCTCACTCTTCTTTTATCGATCGATTTCTCAGTCTTCTTGTATCGATCGATTTCTCAGTCTTCTTTTATCGATCGATTTCTCAGTCTTCTTTTATCGATTGATTTCTCAGTCTTCTTTTATCGATCGATTTCTCAGTCTTCTTGTATCGATCGATTTCTCAGTCTTCTTGTATCTATCGATTTCTCAGTCTTCTTGTATCCATCGATTTCTCAGTCTTCTTGTATCCATCGATTTCTCAGTCTTCTTTTATCGGTCGATTTCCCACTCTTCTTTTATCGATCGATTTCTCAGTCTTCTTTTATCGATCGATTTCTCAGTCTTCTTTTATTGATCGATTTCTCAGTCTTCTTTTACCGGTCGATTTCCCACTCTTCTTTTATCGATCGATTTCCCACTCTTCTTTTATCGATCGATTTCTCAGTCTTCTTGTATCGATCGATTTCTCAGTCTTCTTTTATCGTTCGATTTCTCAGTCTTCTTGTATCTTTGTGAGAACTAGCCGGCCAAACTGGTCATAATGAAAATGAAATGTTTACCAAAAACACATCACTGCCGATCTGTCCGGATAGTCCTGATTAAAAGTGGAATTCTCCTGGCGGTTGTACTGGTCTGGCCAGCCAGTTCTGACAAATTGTAAGTGCCCTAAGACTTTCTGTTATCGAGTTTCCTTTTTTGTTTCTGTTTTCTATTTTCGTGGTGTTACTCAATCAGTCGCGTTTTTAGCGCTCATGGAATTCGAATTTTGAATGAGTCTGATATCCAGATTTTACCGCTCCTTCAGGGTATAGGGAAGAGGAGATGGCTGACACCACAAACTCGGCTTCGATATCTCAAATATATAACTTTCTCCTCTACGCCGGTAGCTCGCTAGTATAGAACAGACGCTTCTGCCTTCCCAAGCTCATTAACCCAGTTTACACCCACTTTTCTGCTGCGCTACATCTCACGTGACCACACCCCTTGTGCAAAGCACTTTGCGATTTTTGCTCATAAGAAATGTTTCATTGTCCCCTGTTTTATTTGTAGTTCCTCGCGAAGCGCCGAGCCGCGAGGTTTATAATCTCGTCGCGTCGCGCGCGCTACATCTCACGTGACCACACCCCTTGTGCAAAGCACTTTGCGATTTTTGCTCATAAGAAATGTTTCATTATTCCCTGTTTTATTTGTAGTTATTCTCGTACTTTTGTGAGTGCCTAAATGCTGCAATTGAAACTGCAAAGCGCGAAGGAAGGTAAGTATTGTTTTTGTTACTGACCAGTTAATTTCTAAGAAACTAAGTTCTTCACCCCGAAGCGTCGATCTCTCATATTAAGCTTAGGGTCAATAAAGCTTGGTTCTTGCACGATAAGATTTGTGTCGCGTGCATCCTCGAAAAAACATTGGTCTCGCATTCATACCCTGGACCCTAGTGAATAACATTGCGAGATAATTCTTAGGTATAGTGAAGGCGTGACAGACGTATCTGGGTCTTCAATCACGATGGTCGGCGCTGCCCAGCCTGTTTTTAGCGACTTTCAAAGAGGCCTCATGGAAACAAAGTAAGTAGTCTTAATGAAGATATGACCCTTCCCAGTCGTGAACGCAATTTAAGCAATTGCAAATTTAGCCCGAAGTTACCATTAAGTCAGTTCTTAAGGTCATTCTTCTGTAGTAGAACCTGCAGTGAGATTTTTGTCAAACTTTGCCGATTGGATGTTGTTTGAAATAAAATCGCGGGGTTCCCAATCCCCATACTCGTTTTGGAGCGGGAGCAACTTGTAAGTGCGCAGTGATTCCTTGAGATACCAAGGGAGCTTCCGCATCGAAGACGGCGATGGCAGCGAAAACGTCACTTTTAAAATGAATTTGAGTGTTTTTTTTGGCGTGCTTATTCCAGTTCAATGACAATGTCAAAATGTAGCGGGTAAATTTCTTGGGGATCGCACTCAAGTTTAGATAGAGAAGGAAAAAAATTCTTCCTCGCTTGTTTACGTCCACCATAAACGTGAAATTAGGCATTTTCACATCGTAGTTGTGCAGTGACGGCAACGAAATGTAGAAAAATGTGTGATGCACGTGCGAAGTTCTTGTTTAGCTAATATAAACCTAAGCCCTGTGCAAACGGACGCAACTTAACATTGTTGGCCAGCAACTCCCAACATTGTTGGATGTTACATGTTGCGTCCGTTTGCACATCCTGTTGCGTGTTGTTGCGCAAAGTTTGAAACCGGTCAAACTTTTCAGCAAGCGACTCCCAACATTTGTTTTCTTGCGTGATCGCCGAAACGAAGCGCAACAATGTTGAATCCGTTTGGACAACTCTTCCAACATTGTTGGGGCCACGCACGCTCATTACGCATGGTTTACAAAGACTTATGGGTTGTATCCTTCCCACGATGCACTGCAGGTCCCAACATTGTTGGAAGTTGTTGCATTCGTTTGCACACCACTGCCAACATGCACGCAACAACTCCCAACATTGTTGGCGCAACAAT